GGGGCAAAAACACCCGGCGGGCCAGATAAATGTCCTCGGTGGGCTGCATGTGACCCGCGGGCCGTAGTTTGAGGACGCCTGGTCTAGGCAAAGTGGGCTGGCCCTTGTCGATGCTATTGTAAAAATAATCCAAGCCCCATTCAGAAATTCGGGCAAGTCTGTGACCCATAGAAGAAAGAGGAAATAATCACTCACAATCTCCCTAGTCAGCATTGAGGCTCCCCATCCCCGTCCCCACCCCCGTGCCCCTGATGTTCTAAATCTACGTATTTCACATTATTCCAGACTGCTGATCACAGTGGTTTGTGATGACTCTAAAGCAGCCTGTTTGAACAGAATCGTTTCCTGCGATCACTCTCCCTATGGCTGGATGGCTCCTATGCCCCGTACTTCATCGTTAATAATGTTGCCACGAACAGTCCTCTTGGGTAGCAACCTGTGGGCGCAGACTTGTGTTTTTCCCCAGGTGGAATGTTTGCTTGTGCAAAACTGGCGTGAAATCGCCACCTTTCTCAACGCTGCTTCTTCGACGATGGCCAATGTTTGGGCCAGGCTGGGGACCACATTTCAGTTGAATTGGCTTCCCCATTCGAGTTTTGGCTGGCTTGGTTTTCTTCTGTTTTTTGGTGACTGCCCGCCTCCTCTCTGACCTGTGTTAGGGGCTTTGTTAAAGGCCCATAAGGCCGTGGTCTGGAATCAGAGCCACTGCAGTTTGCTGGGAGTATTTTGTGCTGAGAGCCAGCTCCTGCTGCACGTAAACCAATGTCACAATTTGTGCCAGGCGAGCCCCAGGTTATTCACTGCTGGTCAGGGAGTGCCGGAGCAGCGCAGTCAACAGTCTCCTGTGACCTGGTTAGGGACGTGGGGAGTGAGGCGGGGACACACTCTTTGCAATCACCCCGATGGAAACAGGCCTGATGCAAAGGGGAGGACTGCTGGACTCCAGGGCAGCCACTCTTCCCACCCGCCCACCCTGTCGCCCGGGCTGCACAGTACTGACTTGATTCTTGGCAGGCACCACTTCCTGATCCACCCTTCCTGTCCAGAGTCTCCTTGGCCAGGACCCCCCACAGGAAACCATTTTACTCTGCCTGCAGGGTCTGTGACTCAGAACAGGGGAGACCCCCGAGGGAGGGAGGGTCTGCTAAGCTTGTTTCGGGGGGAGGAGAAGGGGGTATGGTGTCCACTGTGGTCATTGCTGTGGCCTCGCCCCCCCAGCAGCCCTGGCATAGCCTCCCCTCCACTAACACACACACACACACACACAGCATGTACTTATGTACTTAGATGTACACTCACTCGTATGTTTTATCTATCATCTACATACCTATCTAATCTATTGCTTTATCTATGCCTATCTATTGCTCTATCTATCTATCTATCTATCTATCTATCTATCTATCTATCTATCTTTGTCTCTCTCTCTTTCTCCCCCAGTCCCTTGGTCGCCTAGTCCAGTCCAGCCTCATCTTCTGTCCTCCTTCTCATTCCACGCATCCACATCAATGCCACCATTGCCATTGACAAGGTCCAGCGGTGACCCATCATGCTCTCGCTTCGCTCCTCGGGATGCCCCACCAGGTTCCTTCCATCCATCCTAGGCTGCTGGCCCCGTCTCTTTTACCCTCTGTGCGAGACAGCTGCATCCTTGCCGAAGTTCCTTCCCATCTGTGGGGGCAGGCGGGAGCCATGCAGTACCGCCCCTCTCAGCTGCCTTCTTGTCGAAGGAACGTGGGAGCAGCCACACAGAAGGACCCACACTGCCTCCAAGAGATCCTGACCAAGTCACCCTGTCCCCACCGGATGGGTGGTCTCTTAGCAGACACCTGGGGCCTCTCCTGAGGCGAAGGCGTTAGGTTGGCGGAGACCAAAGCAGGGATGGTGAAAAGCGAGCCTCGAGCCGCCCGGCACCTCTGCTGGGAGTCATAGCCTTGTCCCCCGCTCCTTCCTGGCGGGACATGCGTTCCCGCAGACCTGGGAGGTGGGGGTGGGGGCCCAACAAGGCGAGGGCCTGGTGATGGGCACTTGGCACATCGAAGTTCTCAGTCCCTGGAGAAAGGCCCTACTCTGTCACCGAAGGGTCACCACTGTTTGTCTTTCTTTCAAGCTTGGAAGGAAACCCATTACTTCAAATTGAAGTGGAGCTGACCTCAGAGGTAAGAATCTGAGAGCGTGAAGCCGCGTATTCCTGGGGGGCGGGGGGTTGGGGGTGGGCTGCCCAGTCTGCAGCAAAGCCATTTGATGTCCTTCATGACGCAGAGGCCTCCGGGGCGGTGGTGTGTGTGTATGTGTGTACGCAGAGGCCCTGCTTGATGGATGTCCTAACTTGGGGACAATTAACCGGAGCCTAATGGGCCGTTTGGTGATGTGCATCATGGAAAAGCAAGTTGGGGGTGGAAGCGGGCAGATTTGCATTCCGAGTTGAAAAAGCTGCTCTGAGCTGGATGGCCGAGGGAAAAGTTGGGGCCCCAGGGGCTCAGGAGAAAACGTGGGGGAGGTGGGCACAGAGCCCCGGATGTCAGGCTGGACAGAGCTGAGAAGGCTCCGGGGCTCTTTCCCAGCTTGTCAGAGTGGACAGGTGGCATGCCTGGGCTCGGCCAGTGGGTTCCCCAGTGGGAAGAGTCAAGATTCCGGCAGAATCACTGTGTGTTCTGGAATTGTAGCTGGCAGTGAGAGTGGGCACAGCTACCGTTTCCTGTGTCCTTTCTCCTGGGCCGGGGATGGGGTGGGGGGCTACTTGTTCAGGTGTTTTGGGTCACCTAGGCCTATACCCATTATTCAAGGCCACCTTGCCAGACCCAGCATCTCTGGACATTCTCACAGGCTTGGTCACCTGCTGCTCCCACATACCCCAACACCCCATGCAGCATTCTGGGGAAGTAGGTCTTTTGAGGTGTGACTAGTGTTTGTCAGACCTAAGGGTGCCCGAATCATGTGGGCATGGAGGCTGAAGATGCCTAATCACCTGCTGAAAGTAGACTCCCTCAGTCTGGGTGGGGCCCAGAACTCGGAATCTTCTCAGGTATCCCAGGGGAGGCTGGAGACAGGTGGTCCGGTGCCTGCAAAGAACTGGAAGGCCATCACCTTATTGAAAGCTCCACGCGACCCCTGGGAGCTTGCCTACAAGTCCACGGGGGGAAAGAGGAGGCTGCCTGCCCCCATGAAAGAGTTACAGTCTCAAAAAGAGGAGCTGATACCAAGGGCTCAAGTAGAGAGAAAATGTTTTGGAAATGATGATGGCAATCTGTATACAAATATGCTTGATATATGGATACCAATATGGGTTTGTATAAGAGCTGTAAGAGCCCCCAATAAAATGATTTATTAAAATAAAAATAAAAAAGAGTTATAGTCTCAGAAACCCCCTGGATCAGCCCTACCGTGTTCTAGAGAGTGGCTAGGAGTTCAGATGAACTTGATGGCTCTGGGGTGGGCTGAAACCCTACCCGGGGGCTTTGAGTCAGACCCAGTGGAGGCTGGCGTGTGGTCTCAGCAGAGTGGCCCCATGAAGGTGGAAGAGGTATGGTGATATACCAGACACAGCCAGTGAGCACCCTGTGGGTCCACAGCCTGTCATGGGGCGACATTCCATCCTCTTGACGTGGGGTCACCGCGAGGCACTGGCCGACTGAAGGGCAGTTCCCCTGGGCCACAGAGTTGTCCCCCACTACACCTGCCCGGCTGCCCTGGCCTCTCCCTGACTCCCCATCCCCAGTCCCCTCATTTTCTACTGAGGGCAGTGATGGGTCACACACAGGTGAATTGCGGAGTCTCCAGGTGGCACCCCTAGCAAACCCACCCTCTACTAACCAAAAGGTCAGTGGTTCTAGTCCACTCAGGTGCACTTTGGAGTTTAGGCCTGCAGACCTTCTCCCAAAATCCCAGCCCTGGGGGAGCCATGTGGAGCCCAGTTTTACTCTGACACACAAGGAGGTGCCCGGAGTGGGAAATGATGGGGGGTCAAAAGGTGTTTATTTTGTTTTAAACCTTATCACATTGTGTCAGTCCGGGTAGATGTGTATAGGAAAGAGATTTATATACAGGAGTCATGGGATATTGAGAAACCTCTCAGCCCAGTCCAGATCAAGTCCATAAGTTCGATATTAGCCCATATGTCTGATATCAATCTATTAATTCCTCTTTATACTCATGCAACACATGCAATGACGCCAAATGCGGAAAGATCACAGGTCAGTGGGTGGGAAGTCTTGTGGATCCAGTGGCATTGTAAGCATCCCAGTGCTGGCAGGGATCTCCGCGTGGCTCCTCCAGCTCTCAGGGCTCTGGCTGCATCAGGGTAGCTTCATGTGGCTTCTCATCAGAAATGTCTCACAGAGAGTGAGCCTGTGTCCCCCCTCCAGCAAGCTATTTATCTCCTTATCACCTCCAAATGAGGTCATCAACCTGCGACCTGATTGACAGGTTAGACTCCACCCCTTCACTTTTAATCCTCTCAAATTAACAACAGATGATGTAACTACCACACACATGCACGTCCATCTGTGGGCAATCACATCCCACGCTGTGGCATTGAAGAGGAAAGGGCATTGGGTATCAGGAGCTGAGAGACCCGGGTGTGAATCCCGGCTCTTCCTGGCCATGTGACCTAGAGCAAGGCCGCTCCCCAGGCCCCTCACACACACGGAGTTTACCTGGGGCCAGGAGGGTTTTCCTGGGATGTGGGGTTCCAGGGCTAGACCTGGGCCAGCCCCAGCCATTCAGCACTTTTCTCTCAACCTGCATTTTCCCTCAGCAAGCACAAGGGAGACTGGCCCGAGGGATGTCCTTTCTAGCTTCTTCGTTGTGTGATTAGAAACAAGGATCATGCACCGAGTGTGTGCCCACCACCCGGATGTGCCTGCATAGCATCCAGCCCTGGTACACCCCGGGCCCCCGGCGGGCCCTTGGGGCAGGCCAAGCAGAGTCAGGAGACTCTGACCTCTCTCCTATCTCCCCACAGAATGAAGAAGGCCACGACCAGGCCGAGGAGTCTGAAGACGACTTCGAGGAGATGAACCTGTCCCTCCTCTCGGCCCGGAGCTTCCCACGCAAGGCCAGCCAGACCAGCATCTTCCTTCAGGAGTGGGACATCCCCTTCGAGCAGCTGGAGATCGGCGAGCTCATCGGGAAGGGCCGCTTCGGGCAGGTGTACCATGGCCGCTGGCACGGCGAAGTGGCCATCCGGCTGATAGACATCGAGAGGGACAACGAGGACCAGCTCAAGGCCTTCAAGCGGGAAGTGATGGCCTACCGCCAGACGCGTCACGAGAACGTGGTCCTCTTCATGGGCGCCTGCATGAGCCCGCCCCACCTGGCCATCATCACCAGGTCAGTCCCGTCCGGGCAGGGTGGCCTCTCATGGCCCCGCCACTGGCACAGCTGGGAGGCAGGCAGGCGGGCATGCTTCCCCAGGGAGCCTGACCGCTTGCTTGCCAGGCTGGTGGCTTGAAGAGTGACGATTCCAGAACACGCTTGTAATGCTAAACCTCTTGTCCAGTCGTGCTTGCAGAAAGCATGAGCGGAACCATCCGGAAGGCAGGGTCTCCTTCCAGCCTTCTCTGTGTCCCCGATAGCTGTGTAACCACCTCCGAGACTTGTCCCCTCCGTATCGACAAAGAACAGACAAGACGAACTCAAGGGTCGGCCTTTTTTTTTTCTTCCATTTAAATTTTTGGCTAAAATAGGCGCAGGGGTAAATAGTTTCAGCTTGGCGAGTGATGGAGCCTTTGCGGTAACCACTCAACTCTGCCATCCTTGCGGGAAAGCGGCCTGGGGCGTACCGGAACAGACGCAGCCTGGACATGGGCTCGTCAAACTGTATTTGCAGAAACAGGTGGCTGGCCAGATTTGGCTGAGCCCCCGACTAGGGTTTTGCTGCGTGAGCTCCTGGCTGTCAGACAAGTTGCCAAGCACGTGGGCAGGCGTTCACCGTGATTGTTACCGATTCCCAGCATGCTCAGCCACTTGGGAGAGTAATGACACATGGGGCGCTCACCCTTTGACCTCCTCATCCCAGGACTGGGGGCAGTGAGAACCCGAATTCCTTTGCTCTCCGTTGGTGGTGGGGGAAGAGGCCTCTGGCCTATTTGGGGGGCTCTGGCATTTGGCCTCCCTGTTGTATTAGAATTGGCCATACCAGTGACGTTCTTGGCCCAGGCTCAGTTAGGAGCCCTCCCGCCCCAGCTGAGGCAGCAAGATCCCCCCCACACAGGACTGGCATGTTGACCGGCGTGATAGCAGGAGGTGTGGACTCGGGAAGGAGCTATGCCTTGGATCAGGTCTCTGCTGACACAGAACCTCCCTGTACCCCACGTGTGGTCTGCGACAGGTGCTCGCGGGTCACGGGAGCTGCTCAGGGGTCCACCTCACGGCAGCCCCCCCCACGCACGGCGGAACTGCACGTTGCCTGAGGGTTGTGGGCACTGTTCCAACCCGAAGAGTATTCTGCTTGGGGCCGTGGGTGCTGCCTCCCCTTCACGGGGATGGAGCAGAGGAGAGTGAGGTGGCTTGGGGCTATCTTTTCCTGCATCGTCTTTTTGCCCATGGAGCTGACCAGACAGTTACCCCAACTTTCTCTCTGTTCAGATCCTCCCCATGTGTGACTACTCATGCTTCTCTGATACTGCCCCCAAGTCTATATAGAGACTGAGCAGTGATTCAGGGACAGAATGCTCACCTTCCACAGGTGTGTTTGTGTGAGTAGACTAGAGAAACAAATCCAGGGAGACTCATGTGTGTAAGAAAGAGCTTTATAGACAAGAGCAATTGAATATTGAGAAAACATCCCAGCCCAGGCCAGATCAGGTCTGTAAGTCTGGTATTAGCCCATATGTCTGACACCAATCTATAAAGTCCTCCTCAGACTCATACAACACAGCAATGATGCCGGATGCACGAAGGTCATAGGCCAGTGGGTGGAAAGTCTTGTGTGTCCAGTGGCGGTGGACGCATCTCAGCGGGGGCAGGGGTCTCCATGTGGCTCCTTCAGCTCCAGGGCTGCAGCATAGCGCCTTGTGTCTTGTCAGACCTTTTCCCAAGCGGACACTGATGGGGACTGTCCAGATGCAGTCAACCGTCACCCTTGACAGCAAGTGAGTGGCCGTTGTAGAGATGGGCCGCCCAGCCTGGAGGCAGCTGCACCCATTGTGCACAAAGCTGTGAGCCCCCAGTGCCCCCCCTCCCTTACACACACCATCCCTGCCTACAGATTTCACAGACAGCACTGCCCTTTCCTGGCACCGCGATAAAGACTGTGCAGCTTTGGGACGTGTAATTGGTCTCTGAAGTGTTTTGGTGTTTTGTGTGAAGCCTGCAGGATGCCAGATGAACCCCCAAAGAAGTGGCATGAATCCCCTATATTTGTGTCGTTATATATTTATCTTCGGGAGGGGCCCAATGCAGCCCCCTCTCCTGGGCAGCAGCGTCCACTTGTTGGCCAGCCAGGTTTCTCCACTGAAAGCAAACATTTGAGTAATCTGATTAATCGCGTCCGTGTTCACGATCAGCTGGCAAGGGTCAATGGTTGGATGGATGCCAAACAAGGGGAGCCGTTTGGGGACCCTGGATGATTTTATCAGGCACATCAGACCCGGTCATCCCCTGGCAGATTCTTTATCAATTCACTATCAGGCGTCCTATCCAATCACTTAGTAATTATCATTGAAGTTGACGAGTATTTCTAAGATTAGCTTCCTTGTAATGCAATATGTATGGCTCTCAGTAATGAGTAATAACCCGCTAGCTCCCCGATTGCTCTCCTCCCAAATGCAATCAGCAGCAGGATTGCTTCCCCGCTTCACGATTGGGCTGTTATGTGATTATCACAAAGCTATCGATGGCCTGCACGGCCGCTCACTAAAACAGCCCCCAAATAGAAGCTGGAAACCCATAAAAGAGCACTTCACAGGGAGCTGCCCTCTCCCTCCTGCCTCCTTGCTGGGTGGGGTTTCCTGGGCCTTGGCGCTTCCGTCTGTGAAATGACCAGGTGGAAGCAGGCGTCTGCCCAGACGACTTCCAGACCAGAGGAGGCTCTGGGGTTCTCCTAGAGTGGGTGGTGCTTGAGAAGGGGCTTTGGAGCAGTGCTTTCTAACGTCTGGTCAGTCCGGGCCGCCTGGGGCCAGGCCACCTGGGAGGGAAGCTGGTTACAATTAAGAGTCTCAAGTGCAGGCTGTCGGGGTCCCCTGTGGCCACTGTAGCGAATTAGAAGCAGGCAGTGACCTGAAGGAGCCCACCTGCACGCTCCTCGAGCCCTGAGGTCAGAAGGCTGGCACGGGTCCTGGCGACTCTAGCTGCCCACCTGTGCCCTTGCCTTGAGCTCAGTCTAGAGTTGCCCTGCTTGCCTTTGGGGCCTCGCGCTCCCGTGCTGCCCGGCTGAGGCCAGCAGCATGGCGTCTTGCTTCCGAGGTCACGTGGCCGCCAGCATCTGCAAGTAGAGTTCCTTCTCCCTGCCTCTGGACAAGGACCCTTGTTACAGAAGGAGCCCTTGGGTCAACCTGGTTACACATTGGGCTGCTAACTTCAAGGTCAACAGTTGGAGACCACCAGCCACTCTGTGGGAGAAAGACGAGGCTTCTACGTCAGTGAAGAATTACCCAGTCCCAGAAACTCACAGGGGCAGCTCTCCCCGGCCCTATAAAGTTGCTCTGATGTAGAACCGGCCCAATGGTAGTCAGTGTGGTCTGGTGGTTACGGCAGGCCCAACCAGAGAAGCCAGTGCAAACATTTAACATGCTCGGCTGCTCACCCAAAGGTGGGAGGGTCGAGCCCACCCAGAGGTGCCTCAGAAGAAAGGCCTGGTGATCTACTTCCTAAAATCCAGCTGTTGGAAAACCCAGGGAGAACAGTTCTACACTGACACATGTGGTCAGCTGGACCCTATGGCAAATGGCCAGCAGGAGCGTGTTGAGGGAGGAACTGGGCAACCATCAGAATACTGGGGGCAGCTTCCAAGAGCTCATAGGGAAATAGAATTGAAAGAGAACAGAACCTTTCCACTAGCCTCTTGAAGCCCCCCCTATAAGGGTGCTTGTAGCCCACCCCCAGGCATGTAGCTCCACAGCCACAGAAGCAACAACAGCTCAGTGAAAGTGTCACCTTCCCTGCTCTTGCTCAGGGAGCTGACGACCTTGGCTGGTGTCCAGCGACTTCCCCACCCAACCTGCTGCCTTTGGCCAGACCAGGACACCCTGGCTGTTTAGACAGTGGGCAGGGACCGAGCTTGAGGAAAAGTCTCCGTTACTGCCAAGGCAGGACGTCGGGGTAGTGGGACCAAGCAGGGGAGGTCCAGGGAGTGAGAAGCTGCGTCTTCTTGCCCAGGGGCTTGATCCTAGAGGTCGCAATGCCCTTGTTAGCGTTGGCCCCGGGCCCTCCCTAGAGGGAGATGGAAAACTGGGGGTCAGCGCATGATGGGTCTGTGACACGGTTCCTCCCAGCCAAGACAAAGAGGGCGGGGCTGCCAGGAACATGCCCTGGATGAGGGACAGCATGGCACGGAGCCTCAAAGAGGAACCAGAAAGGCAGCCGCTGGGTCCGTCGGCCTTGAGCCCTGCAGTGAGCGTCCCTGGTGATCATGGTGCCCATTTTGCTGATGGGAGCACTGAGGGTAGAGAAGCAAAAGGAGCCCTAGCCCAGTGTCACAGACAAGCCACTGACACAACCCGCCCTTGAGCTCGGGTGGCTAGTATGCCCCTTTGGTGACGTGGGCCTCCTTTTGTTCAGTCCAAGGTTATTGAGTTCTGCCTGGGAGCATTCACTACCCAGGGTTCTCCTCAACCTGGGGGCATAGCAGATGTCCTGCTCCAGTGGAAGGAGTGATTATTGCAGCTTAAGTGTGGTGAAAGGAGCACCTAGGGACACATTTTACTCTATTTTGCTTATTTTGTCAGTTCTGCTTTTACTTATCAGTGCATCCGTTCCAGCCTTAGAGTTGTGCGGCCACGCTTCACCCTCTTTTTCTGAATTGTCCCTCCCTCGTTTTTATTTTTATTTGAATAAATTACTTTATTAGGGGCTCTTACAGGCTCTTATGCCAAGCCATACATCAATTGGATCAAGCACCTTTGTACATAGGTTGCCATCATCATTTCCCAAACATTTTTTTTTCTATCTACTTGAGCCCTGAGTATCAGCTCCTCTTTTTTCCCCTCTCCCCTCCCACCCACGTGAACCCTTGATAAGTGGTAAATCATTATTATTTTCATATATCGTCTGCTGCCTCCCTTCACCCTCCCTCGTGATATATAAATTCTCTGCCCCCCGAGGTTCCAATCTCTTCTTTCTGGTTGCTATGGTTGATTTGATCCTATAGAGATAACTTGTACAAGAGCAGA